CTACACCACACCATTCCTTGTGAAGATCTGGAACATTCTAGGTGCTGCCTCAAATGCATACATTACTATGATAATTTATATTTGTACAGCACCTTTCATGTCAGAAGGACTTCCAAATGCTTCACACAGCTACTAACAGTCTGACTTGGAGCCAAAGCTGGGGGCGGGGGCTGGAGGGCTGAGCAGGGGATGTGTGGCGGCTGAGTAAAGGGGGGGTAAAGCTGAGGAAAGGGGGAGGGGGGAAAGATAACCTAAACGAAGGTGAAAAAGAAAGGTCTTAAGGAGGGATTTAAAGGTGAGGAGAGAGAGTCATTCAGAGGAATTCCGGAATGGAGTTCCAGAGAGTCAAGGCAGAAATAATGCCTAATAATAATCCCTCCAAAAACCAAAAACAATAATAAATTGGTCATTTTCAATCTACGACTGTTTGTGGGACATTGCTGTGCGCAATTGGCTGCCGCGTTCTCCCACAAATATACAGTCAATTCACTTTACAGTGTGTTCTGTGAAGCGCTTTGGGACGTCCTCCCGACGTGAAAAGCGCTATATCAAATGCAAGGATTATTATTAAAGGCTGAAAGCCCGCCCATCAGTGGTGAAGCAGGCTGGTGCTTGCTAAGGGGAAGGAGAGGTTGGGCAGTTGGGGTATCAACAATGTACACGTATATAACAACTTCCATGTTGGGAGACATCTGAGGCTGACGACAGGATCTTAAAGGGTGAGGATGGATCTGATGGGGGAGAGGATATGGGCTGTGAAGATCTGGATGTTCTAGAGTTAGTGGAGAATGGAACAAGGAAGAGCAGTGAGCAGAATATTGAAAAGAGAGTTCTGGATGAGGTTTAGTGCTGTGTTGTGGAGATAGTCGTCAGCCTCAGATGTCTCCCAAGTGGTCTTGATCAAAGCCTGAATAAAAGGATGAAAATTCAAACAGGAATGGTGACTGGGATGGAATGGATTGCTCTTTCAGACAACCAGGCTGGACGGTGGACTGGATGGTGAGCAGGTGAGCGGTCTCTCACAGCCTTGATGTCCTCATAAAGAGAGATTAAAATGAAGAAGGTCCTTTTCACATCATTTGCCCCCTTTCTTTTTGGTACTGACCCTGCTCAGCACTCCCTTAAGTCATTTTCATGCTGCATTTGCTCTTTATACACTTTATGTGATTGAGAATAGCAGGGCTAGTACTCGTTTCCTATCCCATGGTTGTCTCTCGGTGCCCTGAAAAAGTCTTGATTAACCATTTCATTGGTTTCTGTGCGTGTCGGACATCTATCTGGTTGACCGAACAAAGAGACAAGTGCTATTATCCAACACTACCATCCTCACACCTGCTAAGTGGGCGTGTATCACTTTCACTCTCTTACTCCAATTCATTCTTTCCCAAGACTTTGTGACTCCTCACCCCGATAGATTTCCCTTCATCCAACAAGTTCTTAAAACCCAAGATTGGCATCACTTAACACCACACTTCACTGCCTTTCTCCTGCTCATTGGTGGTGTCTGCAGAGAATAGCCTTTCACCTGAACTCCTTCATTGAAACTATTAATTCGCGCCAAGCAAAGAATACCACGCAATCCATCACTTTTATCTCGTTTGTACAGATGCCCCGGTACAGTGAAAGAGAGAAAGGGGTTAATTCCTGTCATGAGGAGGACTCTCTCTTACTTTTATACTATAACGGGGTCCAATGTACAGGATGAGTAAAAGGTTTGGGCAATATTGAATTCTGCAGATATTCACATGAGTCTTCCACTGCAACCTCCCACAACACAGCTCAGGAACCCAACCAACTTCTGTAAAGTTACATTGCAGCCAAATTCGGTACCCGGATGGAGAGACAAAAAAATTGTAGTCACTCAATCCACGACTGTTTGTGGGACTCTGCTGGGCACAAATGGCTGCCGCATTTCGCCCACAAAATATACGGTCAACTCACTTTACAGTATGTGCTTTGAGACGTCTCGAAGACGTGATAAGGAGCTATATCAAATGCAAGGATTATTATTATATTATTTATTGTATTAACATCACGTGAAAGCAGTCTGCTTTTGACAAATTTTAGTGAACGTTTAAATCATTGAAAGCATATTTTTGTGCATGTCTGATTGTTCAGGGTCAATCATTCAGCGACTTCTGAAATTACTGTATTCTTATTGGTGCCAGACGCCAGATTTGCCCAAAAGGCAACTTCCCCCTGCTCTCGCCCCATAGCTCTACAATTTTTTCCTTTCCAAATAGCTATCCAATTCCCTTTTTGAAAGCTATTATCAAATCTGTTTCCTCCACCCTTTCAGGCAGTGTGTTCCAGATCAGAACAACTTTCTGGGTAATACTTTTTTTTATCCTCGTCTGGCCTCTGGTTCTTTTGCCAATTATCTTAACTCTGTGTCCTCTGGTTACTGACCCACATGCCAGAGGAAATAGTTTCTCCCTATCTATTCTATCAAAACTCTTCACACTGATTTCAGGAAAGAGGATAACACAGGGAATATACACATTTGAACACTTGTTTCTCATCAGCACTACATATTATCGTTCTATAGTGCACCTTTTCTGGAATCCTGTCGCTTAGTGGTTAGAGTACTCGCCTCACAATTCGATTGAGTTGTGGTATTGATGTAAACAATAGTCTATTGGCATGGAGTTGCTAACTGATTTGGAGAATACACAGTGTATCATAATAAAACAGTCCATTCTTAATCCTTTTTTTCAAAACAAAACTTGGGAAGGTATTGACTTTAAGGTAAAGTGGTTCTCTGCATCGTTCTGGTACCTGCTACACATGGCCAATGCTCAGTGTCGGCCAATCCAAATCTGCAACTTTCTGTTCTTGATCTAGTCTTCAATTCCTGTCTTCAGATCTTTCTCTTCCACCATGTTTTTAGTCATCTCCAACATCCCTTTTCTCAGCTTCTCCCAGCTCTGGCGCCCTGAAGCCTTTTGAGACAATGTGGGTTTGAATCCCGGCAGGGCAAAACGTTGGACCTTTGAGCTCACAGCGTAGGGTGGCGTTTCAGTGTAATGCTGGGGGTATGCTGCGGTGTTGGATGTGCATTGTTTGGATGATGTTAAACCAAGATCCCGTCTGCTTGTTCAGGTGGACATTAAATACTCCCAAGTTACTATTTGAAAATACTCCCAAGTTACTATTTGAAAATACTATTTGATTGCGGGCAAGACAAAATGTTGGGCAAGTTTCTTTACTCCACACTCCTGTTTATCTAGCAGTAAGTAGGAACCTGGTTGTTAGTTGATCGGTGGATCGTTTTTCCAGGGGTAATAATCTTTTCAAAAAAATAATAATGGTAGAAATTTGGTCACTCAATCCATAACTGTTGGTGGGACACTGCTGTGCAGAATTGGCTGCTGTGTTTCGCCCACAAAATATAGTCAATTCACTTGACAGTATATTCTATGAAGTGCCTTCAAGGAGGCAAGGGAGGGAGTCAGGCGGAAGAGCCCCAGGATGGATTTCAAAAGGGTCGGGGCAGAGAGTCTGAAGTCCCGACCGCCGGTATTGGGGCAGGTCGGGTGGGGGACACGGAGAAGGCTGGAGCCTGCTGAGCGGAGAGATTGGACAGATCGGTATGGAGTTAGCATGTCACAGAGGTAGGGAAGAGTTAAAAGAAATTTACTGGTCTATGTCATCCTTCACATCCCTAAATTCTGTCTTGGCACTGTATTGTTCTTACTTTATTTTCTTGATCTTAGGAATCTCAGAGTTCCACAGTCCCCTCTAACAACTCTTTCAAGGATTAGACCTTATATAGTCATTTTTCTCATCCCTCTAACTGTGGGCAGTACGTTAGGTCAAACTCCAGCAGTCCTCCTGGAGGCCAGTTGGAGAGCACACTGAAACATGTTCCAGCCAACTGTCTACAAGGGCCATGTTTTGCAAATCCGAGTAAATAACTCCATCTTCATCATTCACAATGCTTGTGAGCCCTCTGGTGGCATAGACAAACCTGATCATTATTATTCACCACCACAATCCTTGTATTTGATAGAACCTTATCATATTGTTGAGGTGTCTGCAAGTGCTTCACAGGATTTACTGTGAAGTTCAGTCACTGCGTATTTCTAGGCAAATGCGGCAGCCAATTTATGCAAGGCAATGTCCCTCAAACAACCATGAAAATGAATAACCAATTTTGTCTGGAGGATTGTCAGCTAGGTCACTGGGAGAAACTCCCTTCTCTTTTCAAATAGTAACTTGGGAGTATTTAATGTCCACCTGAACAGGCAGACAGGATCTTGGTTTAACATCACCCAAACAATGCACATCCAACACCGCAGCATACCCCCAGCAGCTCAAAGGTCCAACGTTTTGCCCTGTCGGGATTCAAACCCATATTGTCTCAAAAGGCTTCAGGGCGCCAGAGCTGGGAGAAGCTGAGAAAAGGGGAGTTGGAGGTGACTAAAAACATGGTGGAAGAGAAAGATCTGAAGACAGGAATTGAAGACTAGATCAAGAACAGAAAGTTACAGATTTGGATTGGCCGACACTGAACATTGGCCATGTGTAGCAGGTACCAGAACGATGCAGAGAACCACTTTACCTTAAAGTCAACACCTTCCCAAGTTTTGTTTTGAAAAAAAGGATTAAGAATGGACTGTTTTATTATGATACACTGTGTATTCTCCAAATCAGTTAGCAACTCCATGCCAATAGACTATTGTTTACACCAATACCACTCCTTAAACAAACAGCCTGTGTCAGCATTCAGTAACCAATTTTCCCTTGTTCTCTGTAAGGGACAAATTCTGCAACTCTTATGATACCATCTCTGCAAATAGGTACTGGAATGTGGGGGGGGGGGGGGGGTTACACTGCCTGTACCTGGATTCCAGTGGAGACTTGTATAGGTTTAAGAGAAATATCATTGTAACAAGATCCCAAACCACAGACAGAGCAAGCCTTTTATATTAGGGATTCTGAATATGAGACTTAATCGGCACGGTTTCAGGTTTAAAGAAAATGCAAACATTAAGGAATTGAAGACAGTGAATCTTTTAATAATGTGAAAGAGTAAACATGTTTAATTCAGTCTTTACACTGTATAGAGCCCTCATTCAATCCACATGTGCCAAAGCTCGAGACTCATATTGTGACTCAGTCTACTTACTCCCTCCCATTTTCTGATGGGTCTAAAAGGTGAAGTTGCTGCAACATTAACTGCAATTAGCTTGGTCCCACTTGTTCCCAGAACACAATGCATCTCACCCTAAATATGTGTGTCAATTCATGTAAATTGTAAAATGGGGACTTCATTCAACAAAATTCAAAAGAGAGACCAGGGCCCTGATCCTGGCCCATAGTACCAGTATCAGCACTCCCACACAGAACATTGACACACAACACTCCACTGAGAAGCAAGAGGGAAGGAAAGCCATTCCCTTTACAAATACATTCAAAGACAGGGGATTGGGTCGTATTGAGGTTTACTCAGTGCTGGCCTGGGATTCAACTCTGGCTATGATAAAAGACCTGATTCTATTCTAAGACAACTCTCTAAACTGGAAGAGCCATATCATACAATTCTGCCTCCCTGCTGGGATTGTGTTGCGTGCTTCAGCAGAAGATTTTCATTTTACTGGAATCACATACTGAAACGTCAGCCGGATCTCATTGTATTTTGTAAGGCCCAGGGAGTACATGGCTTATTATCGCTGTACACTCAATATTCAGGCACAACTTGGACTGTGACAGTTCAGGCAAGTAACAAGTCATGTTTATAGCAATTCACACTTTCGTGCAAACTTTTCATATCCTCTAAACTATCTGGTAGGGAGGCAACTTACATTTGGCATTAATTTGGAACCATAAAATTAGCAAAGCAATTCATCGTGTGTTTACAGCAAAGGCACATTGACTGTAAGGGCAGTGGGAGGCCACCTGAGCAGCTCAGGTAACAAATCCCTTGGACTTGATAACAAGATTAGTCATTTCTACACTGTATTGTAAGTTGACACAATGTAACTTGGTGACGTGTTAGCCAACTCAGCTTCACTAAAGCTTGGGATTTTATTTGGTGCATAACATGACTATTATTACCATGCACTAAGTAGTAGGTTGCAGGACAAGGATTGTGTGTGAACAGAGCCAGCAGGAAATAGCAATGGCACAGCAGTCAGAGAGGAATCACAATGGCGGGGGAAAAAAAAGAAATTTATTCCCGCTGCTTAATCAGGTCGTCACTCAAGACTTTGGAGGGCCCAAATTTTCCACAAATTGACAAGAAATTACACGGAAAAGATTTACGAGATACCATCAACGGTGAATCAATTTTTTCCCCCTGCTTTTTGGAACTTGTGGCACGAATGGGCAGGAGGAGTGTTTCCAACTGTAATACCAGGCTCGCAGACACAGAGCATTATTTTACTCTGCACAAACAGAGCCTTTTCCCAACATCGGTCAAAAAAAAACCATCTGCCAAGTGTCAGTGGCCAGACAGCGCCACCCACTGACAACACATTGTGCCTCCAGGAAACCGCTTGTAACGGCCCAAACTCCAGAGCAATGAATGCTCCAGTCAGTTTTCAGGATCTCGTGAGCTGTGCTGGATATGAATTCAGGGTTCACAGCGAAAGAGAGAGAGAGAGAGAGAGAGGGCAGAGGTCACTCAGTGCTCCTCACCTCCAGCACTTCCACTTGTTAGTTTATTCCTGGTTAGTGTCCACACTGCCATCTACAATCGGTTTTGCTTCTCTGCATTTTTCACATTCCTGCTGTTACACTCAAGTGTATGTGAGTGTGTGTATGCGAGGGTGTATGTGGTGTTTGCGCCATGGCTTCTCCTCCTCATTGGGGATCCAGAATTGAGTGGTTCCAGAATTGAGTGCAACATCTCATGTGTTTGTGCTGCTCCAAACTATGCCTGCTGCAAGAGGAAAACAGCGGGTGTGACCTTGGGCAGTCTGTTTTATCAAATCGCCCCATGTCTGACACTTGTCTGATTCACTGAGTTCTGAGCCTGAGCCCCACAAAGAGAGTAAAACCAGCCCTTGTTCCAACAACAGAAGTAGACCAAACAACAATAGGTTTGTTGAATAAAAACATGTCAACATCTCACAATCAGCACATCAATGCCAACAGATGGGGTCAACTCTACTTGATGTTACGCACGATCCTCCTGCAATGGTTGCTCTTCATTTCACCCAAAGCTTGTTCCAGCTCTTGAATCAGGTGCAGCAGCGTGGCAGGGTCTGTCTGGAGCACGCTAGCACTCGCACATCCATTCTGCTCCAGGTGTAACTTCAGGGTCAGAACAGGCTTGATCTGCTGCCTCAAGGCACGACTGGCCAACTAGGAGCCGAAGGGAAGCATTAATGCAATAATGAATGTACAGTGTAACGCACTGGTTCTGACTGGTTTAAACAAGAAAGCAAAATATCTGATACCAAATATCTGATACCGAGTAAGCAAGTCGTAAGTGAGATGCTACCAGCTGAGCCAGGTTGAGTGTTCAATCCAGTCACTGAACCTTATAACAAATACTCGTGAGCATGATACATAACTGAGAAGTGTAATCCGGATTACATTACTCCCAGCCCGCAACTGCCCAACCCCCATATGTCCCAAACTGTTGCCAACAATACTCCAAAGGTTATAGCTGCTTGTGGGGCTGTGCTGTGTGCAAATTGGCTGCTGCATTCACCTACAATTACACAGTCACTACACTGGACAGCAATTACCTATGAAGCTCTTGCAGATGTTTTTATGTATAGTTTTGTTTTATATTAGTGACAAGCCTACAGGCAACAGAGGTCTGTGGGAGCGAGTTGTTGGTAGCGAGCGTGACTGTACTTTGTTTGTAAACGGGATTCCATCTGTGTGTGTCTGTGTGTGTTTCTGCCTTTCTCACCCCACTTCCCATTGCAATCTATTCTCTCTTGGCCTCTGTGTAGTGACCCATTTTACCTGCACATCCAGTCTCCACTCCAAGTTGTGGTAATGAGGGAGGTCGGGGGTCAGCTCATTCAGGATGCTCCGGATTTCTTGCCGATTGTCCAGATACAGCTGAAGCAGCAGCTTGTTCAGTTCCTCTGGAAAACCCAAGACCAGCACCGAGTCCTGGAAATCCACCTGGGAAATCTGACCATAAAAGATAGAGCGATATGATTGTTATTTTGTGCTAATGAGCTCTGGCGGGGGGGGGGGAACAGTGCGCAGTACCAGGATGACCTCCTGTTCCGAGGTTCCTGTGGAGATTTGAGCCAAGCATTTGTTCCATGGTGCACATGTCAACAACAACAGATTACATTTGTGTAGCACCTTTCATGTCAGGAAGAAATCCCAAGGTGCTGAACAGACAGGAATTTGGACCCGAGCAGGGAATTGGGATCAGGAGAACTGGAGGGCAGTAGTAGGAGGGTGACCAAAGGCGCGGTTGAAGAGGAGGGTCGGGACGAGTCTTGAAGGAGGCAAGGGAGGGAGCAAGGCAAAGGGACTGTGAGATGGAGTTCCAGAGGGTGGTGGCAGAGAGGCTGAAGTCCCAATCGCTGATGGTGGGGTCGGTGAGTCAGGTGTGCGGTGTGTAGCAGGCCAGAGTCTACTGAGCGGAGGAAGTGGACAGATCGATATGATTGATATGGCGTTAGCAGTCACAGAGGTAGGGAGGAGCAAGGCCGTAGAGGGCTCTGAAGGCAAGGATGAGGATTTTGAACTCAATCCTTTGAGCGATGGGGGGGCCAGAGGAGCCAGCGAAGGTGGGGTTTGGGTCATGGAGCTTGCTGCGAGAGAGGACACGAGCTGCAGAGTTCTGAGTGATCTGCATCCGGTGGAGGGAAGAGTTGGGAATGCCGAAAAGGAGGGAGTTAACAAAACCAATCCTAGATGTAACAAATGAATGTCCATTCGAAAGTCCATCAGATGATGCCAGTGAGCAATAGCGTTCCAATCCTGCCCAATCCTGTCCTCACTGCACACACGTCCACCACCAGGGCTCAGCGATCAGGAGGGAGAACCCTTGGGGACATCACAGAGGTGCTGATACCAATCGCAGAGTGCCATCCACCCTTGTCACCTCCCGGTTCAACCATTCTTACAATGCTTGCCAGGCTCGCAGCTCCTCCTTTCACAGGAACTCTGCAGCTCCCGTCCTCACCCGTAACACGCTCCGTGAGCCGATCACCCCATCCTTACTCAGCTCCATTGGCTCCCCAAAGGTCTTATCTTCACTTATGAATCCCCCTTGCCTGCCCCCACTCCTTGCTCCCCCATCGTCCTGCTCTTCTCCCCTTGCCTCCCTGAAGGGGGTCGCACAGGTAGGGTGGGGCGAAGCCGTGGAAAGATCTGAACTTGAGAATCGGGATCTTGAACTCAATCCCCTGAGGGAGTGGAAAGGTTGCGGAGCCTGGTTCAAGAACAGACACGAGGCGGATGGTTTGCAGCTTATGTGAGGAGCTGGAGAGAAGAGATCTGCAATAATATAACCTGGATGTGATGAAGGAGTGGATGAGACTGCGGCAGTTTGGAGAGAGAGAGAGAGAGGTAGTGGCAGAAGCGGGTAACGTTGCACATAAAACTTGTTAACATTTTTAAGGGATATGAATTTTAACTTTACAAACCAAAATATCTTCTATAGTAAAAGACCTTAACTCAAAGAGGAGACAGTAGAGAAATAACAGAGTGCTTACCATCAGCTTGGAGCTCTCAGTGAGCAGATACATCAGTCCCTCAACACCATGCTGCACAGTCTCAGCACTCACACTCAGTTTCCCTGTTAAAAAAAAGGTAAGAGTTTAGACGAAACATCTTGGGTGGTTTATGCTCTGATACTGCCTGTGCAGAGCTCACAGCTACATGACATCAGCAGTGCAATTAAGCCACCGAATAAGAGGCAAACACACACCACAGGCATTCCCACACCTTCTCTGTTTGGAGTGAATAAAGAACTAACACTTTTATACTTTGACTTGTCTCGAGGTGCTTAACTGCATATGTCAGCCTGGCTCAGTTGTAACACCCGTCTTTGAGTGAGAAGGCCCACGTCGGGATTTTGAGCTCGTGCGTTGACACTGCAACACAGTTAGATGCCACGGCACTATTCGAAAAATTAGGTAAAATTGGTCATTCACTTCTTGACTGTTTGTGGGATGTTGCTGTGATAAAATTGTCCGGCCCATTTGCTCACAAAACACAGCAACAGTATATCCGGAAAACTGAAACCAAGTTTACAAGCAGCTGCTTAAGCTTCACACCTCCAACCATCACTCAGTGGGAAGGGATGTGTTCCCGAGCTGTTGGCAGGAAGATGGTGGCAATGCTCTCATGCATTTCATGCTAAACTGTATTACCACCGGGAAGCTTGCAGGGAGTTCCTGTTACCTACCATCCACCTAGTGAGGACTCAAACCCATGCTTGTTGGATGTCAAATGACCAACTGTTGACTATCCTTCCAGGGCAGGGGGTTAAGCGGAGTCTCCCCGGGGCAGAACTGGCTCCAAGATGACATGTTTGGCAACTGGATGTTGGAACTGAGTCAATCCTCCATGATGATCTTGTCCACTTCCGGAGCCAGGGAGACTGCTAACGACAGAAAACCTGCCTCATCGTTAGGGCTTGATGGAGTAGACTAGTCCCTGGGATTCTTCCCATTTAGCTCCTGTTAACCCTGCAAGCCAAAACCCTAAAAGTTGGGTGGGCTTAGCTGGACCACCCTACTTTTACGGCTTTGGCTATGTGGGTTTAGCTGGTTATATTCCAGCTGTACCCCAATGCACACTCTGAGGTCCCCAAGCCTTGGCTTCTGCCAACTTGCGCCTAATACTTTCCAGAATTAGGTAAGCAGGATGCATCCCTCCGGGGAGAGAGTGCGCATTCCATTCCATACATGGAAATGTATGAGTGTAGCTGGCATACACAGGACTCTCAGGCTGGTTTGGATTTTCTTAAGCATGGGGCTGGGTTTCCGCATGTGTCAGACGCCCCGGCTGAGCCAAAAAAAATTCTGTGAAGTGCTTTCAGATGTCTCGAAGGCGTGATCAAGTGCTGTATCAAATGCAAGAACTATTACAAGTGATATATTAGTAATAGCACGAGGAGATAGGGTATATAATTCCTTCACACACAGAGGTACAGGTCAATTAGACACAAGCCACATACTTGCTGCTCCCTCATATATTTTGGGATTTGAGCCTTTCTTCAAAAACTCCACAGCAATCCGGCAGAACTCGCTCACAACTGCAAACACAAAACACACCCACATCAGAGACAGGAGATGTATGGGGTGTATTGGGGTGTAGGAGGAGAGTGTATGCGAGGGGTGGAGGGTGAGTATGTGTATGGATGAGGAGGGGCAAGAGGGGATTGAGGGTGTGTGTGGGTGTGTGGTGGGGGAAGGGGATTTGTGAAAGGGGGTGAGGAATATGTGTGAGTGAGGGATGTGCCCCTTCAGTCAGGTTTCCGTGCTGCTCATAGCACAGAAACTGCCCTGGTCAAGGTCACCAATGATATCCTGACCATCTGTGACCAGGGCTCCCTCTGTCTCCTCGTCCTCCTCGACCTATCGGCAGCATTCGATACGGTCGACCACGCTATCCTACTCCACCGCTTGTCCTCCCACCTCAACCTTCAAGGCACTGTCCTTGAATGGTTTAGCTCTTACCTTTCCCACCGTCTTCACTTCGTCTCAACGAATGGCTTCTCCTCCACCCCCCGTACTGTCTCATGTGGTGTCCCTCAGGGCTCTGTCCTCGGTCCCCTCCTCTTCACCCTCTATATGCTCCCCCTTGGTGACATCATCCGCAAACATGGGGTTAACTTCCACATGTATGCGGATGACACCCAACTCTACCTTTCCTCCTCTACTCTCAACTCCACGACCACCGATGTCCTGACAGCCTGCCTGTCCGACATCGAGTCCTGGACGAGAGACAACTTTCTTCAGCTCAACGTGCGAAAAACCGAGGCCCTCCTGATTGGCTCACGTCAGCGCCTCCGCACCTCAGGCGCTGACACCATCAGCATCCAAGGCTGCACTCTCCACCTCTCAAAGCCAGTCAGGAACCTCGGCGTTTTGTTCGACCCTGAGCTGTCCTTTCTCCCTCACATCCGCACCACAACTGGCACCGCCTTCCATCACCTCCGGAATATCGCCAGATTACGGCACTACCTCACCCCTCACGCTGCTGAAACCCTGGTTCACGCCTTTGTCACCTCAAGGCTGGACTATGGGAACTCTCTCCTCGCCGGCCTTCCCGCCACCTCCCTCCACAAGCTGCAGGTCATTCAGAACTCTGCAGCTCGTGTACTGTCCCGCACCAGGCTTCGCGACCACATCACTCCCACCCTCGCTCGCCTCCACTGGCTCCCCATCCCCCAGAGGATTGATTTCAAGATCCTCATCCTCACCTACAAGGCCATTCACGGCCTTGCTCCCTCCTACCTCTCCAACCTACTATCCCCCTACCTACCTGCCCGTACCCTCCGTTCCTCTGGCTCCGGTCTGCTCCACGTCCCCCGCCCCAACCGCCCTACTATCGGTGGTCGGGCCTTCAGCCTCTCAGCCCCAGGCTCTGGAACTCCATCCCCCAGTGCCTTCGCCGCTTCCTCCCTTTCCTCCTTCAAGGCCGGTCTCAAAACCTTTCTCTTTGACCGTGCCTTCAGCTCCCCTCTCGACTCTCTTCCTCCTCCTCGCTCCCTCCCTTCCCTCCCCTCACCCTGACCATTTCCCCCCTGCTCGGGTCATGACCCAACTGTGCAGCGCCTTGGGACGTCCTCCTGACGTGAAAGGCGCTCTATAAATGGAATCTTGTTGTTGTTGTTGTTGTTGTGCCGGGTGGTTGAGGGGTGTATGTGTGGGAGGGGGGGGTTTTAAGGGGGGTGAGGGCCGTGTGTGGGTGGGATTGCGGTGGTGTGAGGAGGGCGAGGGCTGTGTGTGGGGGGAGGGGAGTGATGTGTGGGGGGAGGGGAGTGATGTGTGGGGGGGGGTGTGAGGGGCAGGTGAGGGGTGTGTGGGGGCGGGGGAGTGGTGTGTGGAGGCAGGGGAGTGTTGTGAGGGGTGTGTGGGGGCAGGGGAGTGGTGTGAAGGGGGTGTATGTGTGGGATGGGGAGGGGAGTGAGGCTATGTGTGGGCGCGAATGGGGGTGAGGGCTGTGTGTGTGTGTGTAGAGGGGGTGGTGTGTGGGGGCTTTGTGCGTGTGGGGGTGAGGGCTTTGTGTGTGCGCGCGTGTCTAAGTGAGGGGCTGTGTGTGAGTGAGGGGCTGTGTGTGAGTGAGAAGCTGTGTGTGTGAGTGAGGGGCTGTGTGAGTGAGGGGCTGTGTGAGTGAGGGGCTGTGTGAGTGAGGGGCTGTGTGTGTGGGTGAGGGGCTGTGTGTGTGAGGGGCTGTGTGTGTGAGGGGCTGTGTGTGTGTGAGGGGTTGTGGGGGTGGCGGGTGTGTGTGTGTGAGGGGCTGTGTGTGAGGGGCTGTGGGGTGGCGAGTGTGTGTGAGGGGCTGTTTGTATGTGTGTGAGGGGCTGTGGGGGTGGCGGGTGTGTGTGAGGGGCTGTGTGTGTGAGGGGCTGTGGGGGTGGCGGGTCTGTGTGTGTGTGTGAGGGGCTGTGTGTGTGTGTGAGGGGCTGTGGGGGTGGCGGGTGTGTATGAGGGGCTGTGTGTGTGAGGGGCTGTGTGTGTGTGTGTGTATGAGGGGCTGTGTGTGTGTGTGAGGGGCTGTGTGTGTGAGGGGCTGTGTGTGAGTGTGTGAGGGTCTGTGTGTGTTAGAGAGGGTCTGTGTGAGTGAGGGGCTGTGTGTGTGTGTATGTGTGAGTGAGGGGCTGTGTGTCTGTGTGAGGGTGTGTGTGTGTGTGAGTGAGGGGCTGTGTGTGTGTGAGGGGCTGTGTGTGTGTGTGTGTATGAGGGGCTGTGTGTGTGTGTGTGTGTGTGTGAGGGGCTGTGTGTGTGTGTGTGTGAGGGGCTGTGTGTGTGTGTGTGTGTGAGGGGCTGTGTGTGTGTGTGTGTATGAGGGGCTGTGTGTGTGTGTGTGTGTGAGGGGCTGTGTGTGTGAGGGGCTGTGTGTGTGTGAGGGGCTGTGTGTGTGTGTGTGTATGAGGGGCTGTGTGTGTGTGTGTGTGTGAGGGGCTGTGTGTGTGAGGGGCTGTGTGTGTGTGTGTGTATGAGGGGCTGTGTGTGTGTGTGTGTGTGAGGGGCTGTGTGTGTGAGGGGCTGTGTGTGAGTGTGTGAGGGTCTGTGTGTGTTAGAGAGGGTCTGTGTGAGTGAGGGGCTGTGTGTCTGTGTGAGGGTGTGTGTGTGTGTGTGTGAGGGGCTGTGTGTGTGTGTGTGTGAGGGGCTGTGTGTGTGTGTGTGTGTGTGTGAGGGGCTGTGTGTGTGAGGGGCTGTGTGTGTGTGTGAGGGGCTGTGTGTGTGTGAGGGGCTGTGTGTGTGTGTGTGTGAGGGGCTGTGTGTGTGTGTGTGTGAGGGGTATATACTGACCCGCTGCCGTGGTCGCGCTCAGGAAGCTGAGATGGCGCCTGTGCTCGTCTGCGAGAACCAACAGCATCTCCGGCCCCGGCCTCACCCCCCGGCCCCGGCCTCACCCCCCGCTCCCCGGCCTCACCCCCCGGCCCCGGCCTCACCCCCCGCTCCCCGGCCTCACCCCCCGGCCCCGGCCTCAACCCCCGGCCCCGGCCTCAGCCTCACCCCCCGGCCCCGGCCTCAGCCTCACCCCCCGGCCCCGGCCTCACCCCCCGCTCCCCGGCCTCACCCCCCGCTCCCCGGCCTCACCCCCCGGCCCCGCCTCACCCCCCGGCCCCGGCCTCACCCCCCGCTCCCCGGCCTCACCCCCCGGCCCGGCCTCACCCCCCGGCCCCCGCCTCACCCCCCGCTCCCCGGCCTCACCCCCCGGCCCCGGCCTCACCCCCCGGCCCCGCCTCACCCCCCGCTCCCCGGCCTCACCCCCCGGCCCCGGCCTCACCCCCCGGCCTCAGCCTCACCCCCCGGGCCCTGTGTCCCCCTCTCCCCGGGGCCCTGTGTGGGTGGGTGTCTCGGGGCCCTGTCTGTGGGTGGGTGTCTCGGGGCCCTGTCTCGGGGCCCTGTCTGTGGGTGGGTGTCTCGGGGAGGCCCTGTCTCGGGGCCCTGTCTCGGGGCGGCACTGCTCGGGGAGGCCCTGTCTCGGGGCGGCACTGCTGTGGCCCTGTCTCGGGGCCCTGTCTGTGGGTGGGTGTCTCGGGGAGGCCCGGTCTCGGGGCCCGGTCTCGGGCTGTGAGCGCAGACGGTGTGTGTGACTGTGACGCGGTTCCCCTTTGGGATCTCATTCTCCGCTGAACTTCCTCATCCTCACAAACACCACATTTCGTGGGAATGTTTCTTCTCTTAATTTTCTCGGTAAACTCCCCACTCCCCCCCACTCCCCCCACTCCCCGGTGTTCCCACACCCGTCACTTGATTCCCTTTGTATATTCCCATTTATTCCCAAACATTTACATTCTTTCAAGAGGACTCTGTTTTCCAGTACTCTTAGTATATAATGACAATATCCCAATATATATTACATATTATAGATAATAATACTCTAATATCCAATGACAATATCCCAATATTATATATTATAGATAATAATACTCCAATATTCAACTGCAATGTCCCAATATTATTGGTAATAATACTCTCATGACTATATCCCAATATTATAAATTGTTCTACAGTATTGTTATAGATACTAAAAAAAATTCACAAAGGTATTCGTTACCCCCATCACAGCGGACAATAAGAATATTCAAACTTTTAAGCTATTTTCCTTAATTGAGTGCACCTCCTCATGTCTTTGAGACATCTCAAAGAACTTCATAGGATGTACTGTAAAGTGGTGCGACTGTGTGTATTTTGTGGACACAATATATATTCCTTGATTCCTAGTTGGAAAACTCTTCACTAAGTTCTATTAGTTGTGAGCCTGTCTCGGTTGGTAGCATTCTTTCTCCTGAGCCACAAGGTAGACAGCGTAACTCTCTGACCGTGCCTTTGGTCACCCTCCCACCACCACTGCCCCCGTTGACTCAGCTCGGGTGAAAACCCTTGAATATCCAGAGCCTTGGAATTCCTCCCCATGTTAAAGGCGCTGTACAAACACAATTTATTGTTGTTGTTGCTCTGGGTGAGCCGGTGAGAGGTGCCACAGTACATATTGGATCAATGAAGAAGGTTAGAAGGTAGGAGGGCAGCAGGAGAGAAGGAAAAAAAGAGGCAAAAAAAATTAAGATGTTTTGGGGACGGTGGGACTGAGGAAGGGAGAAAGATGAAGCTCTCTAATCCCTCTCCCTGCTCTCCCTCCATTGTGCTTGTTGGTGCTCGCTCCCCACACTGGGGCTCTCTACTCTAACCCCATTTCCATTCTCTCTGTCCATCGTATCTGTGCCGGTCCTCGCTCCCCCACTGAAGCTCTCTAATCCCATTCTCTGCTCTCCCCATTATGTCTATGGTGGTGTTCACTCCCCCACTGGAGCTCTCTTCTCTAATCTATTTCCCTGGCTCATTAAATGAATTCCCCACACATAACAGTATTTCAGAATGTTTTAATATTGAAATTAAAATTGCGGGTACAAAAAACTTCATGGCAAATAAACACCTAATGGCGATTGGATTTCATGTAGAGCCTCATCATGTCTTCAAGACGTCTCAAAGCACTTCACAGAATATACTGTAAAGTGAATGGTGGGGATCACCGAGTAAAGAGGAAAGTAGGGAGAGTGTAAATGTGGTGACCAAAGACTGGGTGAGAGACTGGGGCCTTGAGGGTCTGGACGCTAGGGAGAAAAGGACAAGGTGAAGGCTGAGCGTTTTGTGAGCGAAATCCAGAGATCGAGAATAAAATGGCTGCAGACTTGGTTGCCATTGGAGGTGAGAGAAAGAGCAAGAGATGGGCTACAGATGAAAGTCAGAGGGTGCGAGCAGATTGGAAAATGGATCTGGAGGAGCAGACTTCACAAGAAAGATGGAGCGAGCAAGAGAGAGACAGGTTGAGAGGGAAGGCAAGAGAGCACAAGGGAGAGAGAGGGTGATGAAGTGAGGGAGTGAGTAAGAAAGAGAGCAGAAAAGCAAGCCCTTGAGGGATTTGGAGATTGGGATAATGATCTTGTAAATGAAGCAGTGGGGGAGTTACAGCCTTGGTCAGACAGACCAGGAGTGTGAGATAAGGGACGGACGCAGACAATGTTTCAGAGATGAGCAGAGCTGAGGGAAGCAGAGTTTATGTTCCTTTTAAGGTCTCCTTTTAGCGTAGGGTGAGAAAATTCTCACTTCTCATTCCTGTGTCACTCCCATGTGGTCAAGGGTCTCATACGTTGGATCTTGAATCAAAAGTTCCTGATACACCGGGTCTGGAGAGGGAGGTCTGTCCATAACCTGCAAAACACAACCAAACGATTGAAACAACAGGTCTGGGTCTGAGCACTCCATAACATCAACATGTCTCACACCCCTCACAGTGAGGCACATAGCAAGGTACCACACACACACACACACAAGGTCACAGAGACATACACACACAATCATACATACACAGAGACAGACATTCACACACTCAAAATATTTTTGGTCAGCTGGGTATCTGACACTATGCTTAAGGGTATCCACACCAAACTGAGAATTCCAAGCATCCCACCTACACATGGAAATTCCAAGAGATAGATTGTTGGAATGGAATGCGCTCTCTCTCCTCGAGGACGCATTCTGCTTACCTAATCCTGGAAAGTATTAGGTGCAGGTTGGCAAGAGCCAAGGCTTGGGGTAGTGCTGGAGTCTAACCAACTAAACCCGCATAACCGATAATCACTATCTGACAAGCTCTCGCCCCACTTGTTCAGCTGGGATTACCCTACCCGTTAGGGCTTTGGCTTGCAGGGTTAACAGGAGCTGAGTGGGATGACTCTCTGCCCCCAGTGACTGGTTTGCCCTTCCAGGTCCTGCTGATGAGCACGGCTGGCTGTGCTGCCATCAGCAGTGCCCTGGAATACTGCAGACCCACCTGGCTCAAGAACGTGATGACCGAGACAACCACAGACGCCTGGCTCGATTCCAACTCAGCTCCAAGGAAACTGGCTTACCTCCCCCCCTCCCAGGAGAATAGTCACTTGTTGGGATTGACATTTGGGTTGGAGCATCACTAAGGTGGATGGAGGATACTCCCTGCAAGCTTCTACAGCTCAGCATGAAATGCGTGAGAGCATTGCCACCATCTTCCTGTCCGCAGCTCAGGTACATGGCCCTTCCCACTGAGCGATGGTACCATCAATTGGTAGGTGTGGCGCTTAAGCAGCAGCTGCTTAGCTCTCTGCACACACTCATACACACACACAGACACACACTCACACACGCAGACATGCACGCACACTCTGTCACACAGACACACATTCATACACACACACATGCACACACAAACTCACATGCACACACGCACTCATTCACACTCAGGCACAAAGATACACACAGAACGAGAACAAGCGACTATTCTGGCGGATTGTTGGCCTGGGGACTTGGAGAAACTTCCTCCTCTTGCCCTGCCCCAGGATACTGTGGCATCTCCTGATGACAACCCAGCCCAGCTCATTGGCAGGACCTGTAAGGGCAGACCTGTCATTGGGGGCAGGGACTCTTCCCACTGTGCTCCTGTTAACCCTGCAAGCCAAATCCCTAATGGGTACTGTGGTCCTAGCTGCACAAGCAGCGGGAAAGCTTGCCCGGCTTGCCAGTGATTTTAGCTGGTTAGATCCCAACACGTCCTCTGGGCTCCCTAAGCTTCGTTCTTGCCAACCTATTAATTTCTGGATTTAGGTAAATGGATGTGTCCCTCTATTGGGTGGGTGGGGGGGACAATACTGGAAAAACAAATACCAACATGTGGAATTCACCCACCTGACCGCTCTCTACTTTGCTTTGGGGTTTCCGAAAGTCGAAGATTAAAACAGTGAAGGAGATTGAGAGCCACAGGAGAGAGAGAAACAGCAGAGACATTAGCAGCATCTGCTTATTGATCTGAGGCTGGAGAGAGACAAGGAATAAAATATAATGATAATGATCCTTGCATTTCATATGGCGCTTTTCACGTCTCAAAGTGCTTCACAGAATATACTATAAAGTGAATTGACTGTATATTTGTGGGTGAAACGCGGCAGCCAATTGCACACAGCAGTGTCCAACACCAGTTGTGATTTGAAGTGACCAATTTATTATTGTTTTTTTTCTTGAGAGATTATAATCAGGCGTGTGGAGTAAGCAAAACTTGCCCAAGGTTTCGCACTGCTGGGAATCGAACCCAGGTCTCTCGCTTGCGAGGCAAATGCTCTAACCACTGAGCTTCAGGACTCCACTTACAGGACTAGTTAAAGCAGTTCACAGCACCCTCTCACCCTTCCCTCTATCTCCCACTCGCGCTCTCTCTCTCTCTCTCTGCGTGTCTTGCTCTGTCTCACTCACCCAGATAAAATTGGTCATTCACTTTGTTCACAAAACACACAGCCACTGTCTTTTACAATATACACCTCAGGCGATCCTCCCTACATGAAACGTGCTTATACCAAATGTAAGGATTATTATTATTGCTGTTGTGGGACAT